TCCCGCTAGGACACGTCCTATGCAAAAATTAGGGATCTAAAAGGGATAAAAATAGCAAGTGATGATTCTCATAGTTGAAAACTAAAAGGCGGCTTGAACACTTTTACAAGGGGCCAAATTCTGCGAAGACTCTGCCTGAGACTCAGATATGTAGTTGAAGATAATTAGGAGAATGATTATAATAATTATCCAATGGAATGTTTGTTTAAAAAAAAAACTTAAACACTCACCTACCTCAACTACCCCATTCATTCTAAATCATCCTACCTCCACTACCCATTCATTCTAAATCATCTTTTCCTTTTCTTTCTGTCTTGTCCAACCATAATGACGTGTATTATTAATGGTTGTCAAAATTTAAACAAGTATAAAAAAAGGAGAAACAAAAAATGAAAATAACCCGTTGGGATGAAAACCCGTAAAAGGCGTCCTAAGCAAAAATTAGGGCAAATGAAAAGAGCAAAAAATACCCGCTAGGATACATCCTAGGCAAAAATTAGGGTTTCTAAACAAAAAGAAAAAAAAAAGCCCCAAAATGACTCAATACATCAAACGGCCAATATGACTAATGTTGCACATCGATCGAAGCAATCTCTTTGTGAGAAGGAGAAAAGGAGAGCCACCTTCTAAAAAAAAAAGGAAATAAAAAAAAACAAAAAAACAAAAATCAAAACATGCATTGCACGCATTCAAAGTCATTTCACACACTTAGAAAATTTTCTTTATCAAAGGGGAATTATTCAAAATATGCAATAACTATCATCATGCATAAATAAGCATTCAACATTTTTTTGCATCTCAACAAGAAAAGCCAAAAAGGGAAACGTAAGTTCCGATCGATATCATCCCAACAAGAGGAAAATGCAGCCCAAACTAGGGGGATCAACAAACATCTCTTGCCCATCCACCTAGGGGCAGTCGTTCATTCCACAACCATCCATCAATAATCAAACAAGCAATCATCAAAAGGACTCAGCATTGCGCCTTGAGAGGCATCACAATACTCACATGGCAGGGGCAACACTAGAATCTCTGTCACCCATCATTTACTCCTTTGCCCACCATCACAAGGGCACCACCTACCAGCAATCCTCGTCTTTATCAGACGTCCTCCCAAAGAAAAGGGGAATCACATCATCATCATCAGCAGGCAGCCTGTAGAGGCCAGACATGATAATACTCATCATTTACTCCTTTGCCCACCATCACAAGGGCACCACCTACTAGCAATCCTCGTCTTCATCAGACGTCCTCCCATAGAAAAAGGACAATCACATCATCAACATCAGCAGGCAGCCTGGAGAGGCTAAGCATAATAATACTCAGCATTCAGCAGGCGGCCTGAAGAGGCTAGGCATAATAATACTCAGCATTCAGCAGGCGGCTTGGATAGGCCAGACATAATAATACTCAACATTAGCAGGCGACCTGGAGAGGCAGACATAATAATACTCACCGTTCAGCAGAC